TCTTAAAATTTCTTTGTATTATTGTACAGTCTTTACCTTACAAAATGAACGCGCTTTGAGGCGACTGTTGTTGGCGCCATATAAATAAAACTGAATTGAATTCAGTTGAAAAATTCCAACATAATACTAAATTTCAAGGTGGTCAGCCATACGGGTCCTTTGAACAGCAGAGACCTTCACTCAGTCTGTCCTTTTCTACATTAAGTGCTGTGTAGAAAGTATGATGATAACCAAAACCATCTGGGTTTTTCCTAACCGAAAACCTTGGCTGACTAGTGAAATCCAGGCTCTGTCTTTGCTTGGTTTGATACCACCCCTCCCCTGCACCCCCTACAGAGTAAATTGGTCCATCACCATCACCCATCACAGAGCGCTCAGCCAGCTGGAGAACAGGAGCTATGTGAGGATACTCTTTGTGGACTTCAGCTCAGCTTTCAGCACCGTAATCCCAGACATCCTCAACACCAAACTGGACAACCTTCAGTTCAGCACTGTCACCTGCTCCTGGAACAAAGATTTCTTCACAAACCGGCCTCAATCAGTACGACCCGACCTCCACCTTTCCCACCCCGCTGTCCTTCACCATCGGATCTCTGCAGGGCTGCATTCTCAGTCCCTTACTTTACACCCTGTACACCTATGACTGCACACGAACCCACCCAACCAGCATCATCGTCAAGTATGCTGATGACACCACGGTGTTCGGCTCATCTCTGATGGAGATGAAACAGCATACAGGGTGGAGGTAGAGAACTTGTCCTGCTGGTGCTCAGAAAACAACCAGAAGCTGAACGTCCTTAAAACAAAATAACTCATAATGGACTTTAGGAGGAGCAGACAGGTCCACTCCCCTGTGACTATGAATGGAGAACAGGTGGATTCTATCTCCACCTTCAGGTTTCTGGGCACACACGTCTTTGCCTATGTCACCTGGACCCACAACACCATAGCCATGGTAAAGAAGGCCCAGCAGCTGCTGGACTTCTTCTATGTCCTAAGGAAGAATGACCTGGACCAGAAGATGCTGTGGCCTTCTACCGCCCCCTAGTGGAGAGCGAGCTCTCCTACTGCCTGGAGGGGCCACGCCTGAGAACAGGAAGGCTGCACAGAGGTTAATTAACACCACCCAAAAAATCATTGGCTGCCATCTGCCACCCCGTGAGGCCTCCTGTCTCAGGAAAACCAGGGCCATCACAGATGACCCCTTGCACCTCACCCACCACCTGCTTGATCACTGCCCTCTGGGCCATTTGGACTGTTAACAAACACTATGCCCCCACACCCCACCCCTGCCCACCTACTTCACCAATCTGATCCACGGCCTGAGTAACCCTCACCACTCAGGCCACTCACTCACACACACACACAGACTCTATATAGACCAAGTCTTTTCTTTGCTCTCCAAGCACTTTGAACTTGTTCTTAAATGTGTGTCTTTCTCTTATTTTTGCATACATTTCCCATATTTCTTATTTATTCCTGCTGTCTACAATTTGTATTTGATTCTGGCACAGCTGGTGTATAGCACCCACAATTTTATTGTACATGTACAAAGACAATAAAGTTCTATTCTTTTCCATTATATTCTATTCTACTAAAAACTCTTGGCAAAACACCTCAACCGTATGGAAACATTTCTAGTAAGCACCTTTAAGCAGAAATTCCTGTGGTGTGACTATTGAATCTTGCATTGTAGACTTACTTCCTGTGAGTTCCCCTGCAGCCCCACTCTGTCTGTTTACAGGTTAATCAGACAAATTGTATTTTTATGCTAACATAAGCTAAGAAGAACATCATGAGGCTAATCCTTTAAAGATATTAAATATGAGCTCATAAAATCCGACTAATGTAACGCCCATCTGTCTTCCTCAATAAACACGATGGGCGCTTAATTACTTTCTCTCTCAAGTCGGCTTAATGAGGGAATTAAACTCCTAACCCTGGTCGTGTTAGTGCCTTGCTCTACACAGTGATCTGGACAAGGAGCTGCAGAAGGCAACCATACAAAGGGAGACTGTGTGTATAAATGTGTGTGTGTGTCGTGAAATATGGCAGCGGTGGCTGCAGACAAAGAGCAGGTAGATTGATGATTGATTAGCTGTGGCTGTCTGGCTGACTGAGACTCATTGGCAGCCGTCACTTTGATGAATTACACCGCTGTGAAAAACACACTGCATTCTGATTACTGCCAGCGAGACTGGTGTGTGCGTGTGTGTGTGTGTAGTGGGGCTGATGGCCTGTATGTGCAGTGCATGTGTGTTTGTGCATGTTGCTACTGATACGCTTCCCTTCATGACTCTGAATTGCTCTGCAGGGATTGTTTTTAGTGGATGTTGCCAGTGTTGTTTCCATGCTAATCCACTGTGCCCATGTTCACACACCCAAAATCCTTGCTTAGTATTCTGCCGAGGGAAGCGTTACATCCCCACAAGTCTGACTCAAGGTCCTATACGCTGTTCATAAACAGAGGGCGATTTGTTCATATTTAACAAGACGGATGACAGGTATGTACCTTTTTTTTGTTGTGCCACAGCTCCACCTGTCACAGGATGCACTGAATAATTTATGCCGATGAAATCCACGCTCTGCCTTTTGATCTGGCAAAGGCCGGAAGCATTGAAATTATGGGCGATTTATTTAATGAAAGATTTCAGGAGCTGACACGGGGTTGGACCCACACCGGTGTTTGATGGTTGACACTGATGTGGGTGGACTTAAGCTGCTGACTGCTGGTATTTTGAGATGAAAGTGCTTTCAAAGAAATGCACATTTTTAATTCAGGAAATCGGCACTCTGTTAGAAGGTGTGTGTCTATAACCCCAGCATTTCCCCTCATTGTCTCCAAACATCGTCATTTCTTTTATTCTTACTTTATCATGAAATAAATGTATCAGCCTTTATTTTTTGTACGTCTACAGCTCTGCAGTGCAAATGTCCGAATGTTGCACCACAAATGGATCCACAGGTAAATTAGCTGAGAATATGAGCACAGCAACAAACCATTAAAAGCTCAGCAGACCACGATTTACCAAACAGGCAGTTAAAGCAGACGGTAAAGCAATCACAGGCAGGCAGTAAGCAGTTTTTGAGATTTTTCTTGAGGATAGAAACAGGTTTAAGGATTGCAAAAGCAGAGAGGACTGTTCATTTCTCCAGCACAACAACAAGTGGAGGGGGGCTTTGATTCGACTTGATCCTCCAGTGATGTGTAGTGAAAGTATACGGATCGGTGGCCTGTGGGGAACACCAGGACATGTCTTGGTGGCCAGAGGGCTGTTTTGGCCTGTGATGAACTGTCAGCTTGAGCACTGATATTATAGGTAAACAGGAGTGAGTCTGCAATTATCTGCATGCTTGTCTACACCGTGGACAAGTCACCTGCTGAAAAAGGAAGGTGGAGGAGAGGGAGGCTGTTGCTGCATCTGAAAATAAGTGCCAGGTAAGGACCAGGCCAGGCAAATATATGCACAGTTATAGCCCAGGCACAATTTAGTGAATACATATCCATGTGTTCATAAAATATTTTATCATCTGTCCTTCATATTAACGAAATAATCTGAAATTTTAAGTAGAAGAAGAATGTGAAGAAAATAACTTGAGTATGTTGCAGACACACTAGCTGGACACTTCACTGAGTTGACACTTCATTGAACTGCTGTAATTCTTCATAGAATAGATTAAGCATGAAGACATTTGGTTCATGCTCATATGATGGGGAATCTCGAAGTTCATACAGTACTGTTATCAATGCACAGGCACTTTGTCGGCCACTAACAGTCACACTCCGGTGAAACCGTCAGGGCGACTTGGGGTTCAAAGTCCTGGTTAAAGATACTTCAGCATGTGGACTGCAAGAGCCAGGGAACAATCCACCCACCTTCACCCAAGGAGTTAGCCTCACTTCCTGTTCTTAGATGATAGGAGTGGTGTGGTCTTCTGCTGCTGCAGTCCATCTGCTTCAAGGTTTGAATAAAATAATAATAAAAAGCAAATCAGCAGTTTCTGAAATGCTCAGACCATCCTGTCTGGAACCAACAATAATGATGCATTCAAAGTCTCTTAAATCACCTCCTTCATTCTGATGCCGTTTGATCAGGAGGTCATGCACTGAGGTGCTGTCATGTGATTGGCTGATCTGAAATCTATTTCAACAAGTGGCTGAACATGTGTACCTAATAAAGTGGCCGGTGAGTGTATATTTAATGCAACCAATTGATTTTGTTCAAGTCAGCTCCTCAATCACGTACATTTCATGTACTGCTTCCACTCAGAATTCACCTGTACGCACCTCTGTCCTCAGGTTTGTTTTTTTATTGGCTTTTTAGTTTTTTGCTTGAAATCAGCATTATTATCCCAGACATGAGTCTAGTGTTTATTTCCCCTAAATATCTCCAATGTATTGTGAACATTTCCTTAATGCTTGAATAAAAAGAGATTCAGTTGAATATCACCTCAATACCTTGTGTGCAAGCGTAATTAATAAGCAAAAGTGTCAAGTTGAAGTTGACTTTTAAATAGTTTTTACTAGCTGTCCCAATAATCATTGTCTTGCCACGACCATGAAGTCAGAAGGAGCTTTAAAAATGGATAAGAGGGATGGGACAATGAAAATCTGACACAGCAGCAGTTGCTGCAGGTGGCTTGGCTGTACAGAGTGGCTTCAGACAGCAGTCACATCTGTCACTGCTGAGAATGTCCATCACGTGTACTGTAAAAGGTTGTGTTTAATCAATAGTGGCAGGTGAACCTCTCCATAGCAAGCTAGCTAGTTAACGCCAGCTATTAATGAAAACCAGAAACAATTAAGTTAAGATCATAAAATAGTCAAACACTACTTCATATAACAATTACAAATTTACCAAGCACGCCGTGTCCTATTAATTACTGTATGTAATCTGATGTCAGTCACAAGTAGGTGTCCAATAATCATTTGATCCAGTAATTTGGGAAGTGATGTTTGAATAATTGAAAACGAAAAAGATATTTGTATTGAAAAGAATTTTTATTGTCCTTTACACTCTTTGAGACTACATTTTTTTGTTTACAAAAAAAAAAGAAAGAAGAAAAACAAAAACTGGCAGGGTCGATTTTTCAGATTTCAACTGATTCAGATGAACCACAAGAGCCAGCCGGCCTCTCATTTCATCACTCCTTCCCATCTTATATTATTTATTAAAAACAAGCCTGTAGTCCTCTAATATACATGAGAGACTAACACATAATCCCACATACATATATCACGATTAGAGATGAAATACTTCAGAAGTGCTGGTGAATTCTCAGATTTTAAGGATTTCATCATAAAAAGATGCCCCCACAAACTGCATCTAAAAGATGGATGTATCCACCATGACATCATGTCACGAAGCCTCAAGCTGGTTTTCACCATCTTAGTGTTGAAACAAGTGGGGGAGCTTCTGCCCAGGATTTCAGACAGTACATATACTCTATTAATCCTCATCTGCCTTTATTACAGAGCATAATTTACAACATTTTATGAAATATGACCTAAAACCAGCGTTTGAGTCCAGACTCGCCTCCTGCTGGTCATTAAAAAGACTGCAGACTTCTATTTTCTTACCTTGAAGCCATTTTTTTTGTTGTCCTCTGCTGTGCAGTGCAACTCGAGCACTTGGAGCATTACCGCTGACGCACCACATTAACACAACATTAGACTTGAATCTAAAGGCAGGCTCATCATGTACAGTATAACACACAGTAAAGTTACACAACCCTCTTTAAACCAAAACCTAATCAACTCATTTTCGCTCATATTTTCTCCTCACAGGTGTTTCAGGACTTTTTTTTCACCTGCGTGCCTTCTCATGTGGGTGGTTAGGCTCCCCGCCTGACTGAAACTTTCCCCACATTTCTCACAAACGTACGGCTTCTCGCCTGTGTGGACTCTCATGTGGACCTTCAAGGAAGTGGTGTAAGCGAAGTCCTTCTGGCATATTTGGCATGAGTACGGCTTCTCGCCCGTGTGAATCCTCGTGTGACTCGTCAACCTGGAAAGGCGAATGAACCTCTTCCCGCAGGTGTTGCAGACGTGAGGCTTCTCGTCCGTGTGTGTCCTCGTGTGCCTTTTAAGCTTTGAGGCGTTGACAAATCTATTCCCGCAGGTGGTGCAGAGGTAAGGCCTCTCACCTGTGTGGGTTCTCATGTGGCAGAGAAAGCTGTTGCTGTGGGCAAAACGTTTGCCGCAGGTTTTGCAAGAATGCCGCTTCTCGCCGGTGTGTATGGCCGTGTGCCTCCTGAACGCCGACGGGTCGTTAAACCTTTTTCCGCAGGTGATGCAGAGGTACGGCTTTTCCCCCGTGTGCGTTCTCATGTGCAGCCGCAGCTTATCGTTTCTTCTGAACGTTTTGCCGCACTTCTCACAGAAGCACGGCCTCTCATCCGTGTGGACTTTCATGTGGAGCTTGAAGGAAGCGCTGTAGTTGAAAACCTTCCCACATGTCATGCAGGAATACGGCTCATCGTCTGCGTGGATTCGTAGGTGATTTTTAAGCGTTGATTCATGTTCAAATGTCTCCGCGCAGGAGCTGCAGGAGTAAAGCGTCCCATCTATATTATTATTCGTAGTACCACAAAGTTCTTTTATTTGTAAACTATTCCTGCAGACTTGTGTGTTTTCATCTGTGTTGTTACAGACTTTCTTTGGTTTCGGCTCCGTTTTTAAGGGCATTCCTGAGTTTTCACATTTGACTCCTTCCTGTTCTCGACTCTCAGGTACAAAACAGGACAGAAGCTCGGCACTGCCCTCACAAACAGGAGTCACCATGAAGGCATCACTTTCCTGCTTTAGCACAAGCTGCTCTCCTTCCTCACTAATGCACAGCTCCTCCTGCTCCTCTTTAATCAGTGAAGGTTTCTGATCCTCTGGATCCAGACTGGCGTTCTTCTCCTGGATAGAGATTTCCTCTTCCTTCTTTGTACAGATGCAGCGTTGGTCTACAGGGACAAAGGGACACGAGGCAAAACGTGAGCAGATCGATAGTTGGGATGTGACGGTGTGGAGAGACATTTGCCCTCCCCTCCCCGAACAAACACAAAAAAAATGCAGGTATAGAGAAGAACCCAGGTGTCCCAGTTTTCCACTGGGACTTGAACTCAGCTTGCACCAGTGGATCCTTGCGCACCCACTGGTGCACCTGTACTTAAGGTTTTGCAAGTGAGCGAGGGGGATGTTACATGTAGTTTTACACTCTGTAGGAAGGTTTGGAAAGACAAAATGATCCGATTTGTCACGATGAACTTAAAAGGTTAGTGCATCAGTTACTGTTATTTATATAATATTGTTATTCATTGTAAAATAGTTTTAGGCGTTGTCAAAATGCTTCATGTGTGTGGATTAGAGTGTGCATTTGCAAATCTTACTGTGTGCTTGTGGATCACACTATACCCATCTACAAACCCCTGTGAGGCAGTGGAAGAGATCCTAGTTCCTTCCAACAAACATGCCAACACGGGAGGTAGTGAGGAGAGGATAAAAGAAAAGAAACAACGGGCAATATAATAAGATATAAAATAATTTTATATTTAGGGCCACCATAAATAAATGGTGCAGTGTGAGGGGTATAGACACAGTGAGGGTGTTCAAAGAGTCCTCCTCCTCCTGTGCATCCTTGCTTGCTGCTCCTCCAGCAGTCTCTTTTCTCCTCTGTCCTCCTGATACATTTCAGGATTTGAGGCATCCTTCAACATTACTTCTTGCCATTAACTTCCGGGTCACAGCCAGCGGGACGGAGGAGATGAGGAAGCACATATTAGAGAAAAGCCTCAGGTGAAGTAAAGATAATGCGTTACTCAAGGCTAACAACAAGGGAGCTGTCAAATAGTTCGTTTTGCTTAGCTTGCTTGGCTAATAATGAGAGCTGTTTGCATTCTCTAAATATTAAGGAAAGGCGCTTCACTGCTTCTTTTATTGCCTCCTTTAGCAGAGGAGACACTGGACACCACTGAAAGAATAACACCCGCTTCTTCTCGAGGTTTCGCCTTCACATAAATTTATATAACCTCTAAATCCACATAATGAGCTGTATTAAAATAATCAAAGTGTATGGAAGCTATAGTTTTATAGGTTTGCATTAGCAATATCTGCTGCTGCACTGCAGCATTTAGAGTTATGCTGGCAATACAATATAGAAGCTGTATTGCCAGCATATATGGAACGCCAGGACTGCCATAATGAATTAATTAAATACACCATTAAATAATTAATTAAATGTGGCAATAATTAATTAAAATTGGAATTAATTAATTAAATAAATAGTTATGACACATGTAATTAATTAATTATTGACACATTTAATTAATTATTTATGTATTTCACATTTTAATTAATTTTGACACATTTAATTAATTATTTAATGATATATTTATTTATTTCATTTTGGCAGTCCTGGCGCCTGGCTCTCATCATGAAATAATTTTATCTGTCAGCCTCACCCATCAAACTCAGGGGCGGGGTTAACGCTGCCCATGCAGCTTCTCTAACATTTGATTGGTTGCCGTGCAAAGTAAGTCAAAACAGGTCGATCCTAGATAATCGATTGCTTGTGTAGAATTGGGGCAGCCAGGTATCCCAGAATACAGATCAAATCACAGGCAGCAATGGTGGTGGTGTAGTTTTAAAATACCCCGTTTTTCTGTCACCAGCTACACTTTTAACAGTGTTTTAGCCGCGAATGTCGCGACGTATGTCTGGTCAGGTTGTCAACATAGAACATGTTTGCAAAAGTGCTCAGATGTTTTCAGAGATTTCACTAGCTCTGCTAACAATTAGCATGCAGAGTGCACCGAGGGGGTTACGTTAACCGGTTTGTTTACATATTCCACTCTCCGTGTTCCACATGTTGCATTCGCAGATTCTCATTTTCACCGAACGATCGTCTCTTTCCACCTGGTCTTGTGTCTCTGTGCTTCTGTAACATAAAGAACGAGCTGACATTTTTCTCACGAAACCAGCGATCAGCTCAACAGACCCTCAGTTTACCTGCATGCATCCTCCTCCTCATCTGTCATCTGTTTAACACCTGCTGCTAATTCAAGAAACACGCCTAGTTACCTGGTGATAGTCACAGTTTAACTGGGCAGCCGGTACTCGATATAACGCAATGTCAGCGCATTTTTCTGCACAAGATAAGTAAATATAGTGTTTTCCCCGAGCGCAGAGCTGCTGGAGCTTGTTTCCTTACAGAGCACTTTATAGGCGAACAGCTTTATCAGCGGCTGATGTCCAATCACCGGCACACAGCTTTCAAACCTCAGCTGAGTTTTAGCTCTCAGTGGTTAAACGCTGGACTTCATTCACTCAGGTTCTGTCTGTCGGGTCACGTTTACTTCGCTGTTTTATTTACAACTGAGCAAATCGGTTTGGCTGAGGTTAAAGTTACGTTTCATAACTGCATAGTTTCACAGACGTTTAATGGTTCACTGGCACGTGTTAGACTGAACTATCATCTAAATATCATCTGTTTTTTAATAGTTATTCAACTGTATTCTAAGCACCAGCTGTCTGTTAGAATGTGATTTTTTCTCTCTCTCTCTGTTGGCAGAGGTATAAAAATGCGCAGGAAAATCTGACGTGCATGGCAAACTTCACCGACGATATTTAGGGAGGAATAAACACACATCAAACATAAATGAACCATTTGTCTGTCTCCATAATTGAGAGAATTTTCTCTTCTTATGTCAATACTCTCTCTCTCTCTCTTTTTTTTTTTCTTTTTTTTGGCTTTTTCGGTCATGTTATGTTTACCTGTCAAAGGCTTGTTACAAACTATGAAACACATTGTGCAGACTTCTGGATGTTAGAAGAAAACTAATACTGCTCATGAATGAGACTAAAGGCAGGAAGGTGTCCTTTAAAACTAAACATGTTAATAGGACCTCCCTGTTTATATCATAGTTTATGATATAGCATGTGTATTTCAGTAATAGCCTGCTGAGGCCACTATACGTGCTGGCCTCATATCAAATGTGAAGGCAGACTGAGTCTATGTTTGACGTTTTTTATATCTAATCTTCCTTTTCAAACATTTAAACAGCAGCGAGTCTGCAGCTGAGGGAATACAAATTCAAATTGTCGGAACAGGTTTGCTCGTTTATTAAATGTATAACTGTTATTCTAATCTGCTGCTGAGTCTCTTACACTTTTCTTTATGCTGTATATTTTCACGTCTCTGGAATAGTTGGAAGTTAGATAGTCAGGTGGGAAACTTTGTGTTAACTCATGGAGCTGAGGATATCGTGGATATCGTGGACATGCTGACCTCGCTGCGTGGTGTACAGAGCGAGGTCAGCATGATTAATATTCACAATAAAAATATTAGCCGAACATCATGAAGTCTGTATGTGTTTCATAGTGTCGAACAACCTTTGTACAGTTAAAGCCAGCAGTTACTACATGACGGAAACACCAACGTTATCTCTTTTATGTGTTTATACACAGGTCACGCTGATTACTGAACAAAAACCCAAAGATCAGATGTTAAACAGATTTATTTGCTCTCTCTCCTCCTTAAACATGTTTTTAATGTTAGTTATAATTCAGAATTGGCGACTGAAACACGTAGGACACATAAGAACATCAGGAAATAAAACACCGATAAATATAACCTCAGTAAAAGAAGTCAGCGGGGGTTACTACAGCTGTGTACCAGGGCCTGCGCTTTGTCGGTGGGATTGCTTGCGAGGCGAGCGGGTCTATCCCACGCTTTGCCGTGAGACTGGGCAGACATCTCCGAACTCATCGAAACACTTTTGCAAAGAGGCTGTATCTTGACAAACCGACCAGACACATGAAGATTAAACCACTACATTCTCGGCTAAAAAATATTAAAACGGTATTTGGTGACACACAAACAGGGTTTTTCAAAGCTCAGTTCTGTTAGCTTCCACATGCCGGTTGTTGTGTGCTAGAAACAATGGCCACCAGGCCAAAGCAATGGTTTTGACTCGATCAGCGTTAACCCCGCCCCCTGAGTTTGATGGGTGAGGCTGACAGATAAAATTATTTCATGATGAGAGCCAGGCGTCAGGACTGCCAAAATGAAATAAATAAATATATCATTAAATAATTAATTAAATGTGTCAATAATTAATTAAATGTGTCAATAATTAATTAAAATGTGAAATACATAAATAATTAATTAAATGTGTCAATAATTAATTAATTAAATGTGTAAATAATTAATTAAAATGTGAAATACATAAATAATTAATTAAATGTGTCAATAATTAATTAATTAAATGTGTAAATAATTAATTAAAATGTGAAATACATAAATAATTAATTAAATGTGTCAATAATTAATTAAAATGTGAAATACATAAATAATTAATTAAATGTGTCATAATTAATTAATTAAATGTGTCAATAATTAATTAAAATGTGAAATACATAAATAATTAATTAATGTGTCAATAATTAATTAATTAAATGTGTAAATAATTAATTAAAATGTGAAATACATAAATAATTAATTAAATGTGTCAATAATTAATTAATTAAATGTGTAAATAATTAATTAAAATGTGAAATATATAAATAATTAATTAAATGTGTCAATAATTAATTAATTACATGTGTCATAACTATTTATTTAATTAATTAATTCCAATTTTAATTAATTATTGCCACATTTAATTAATTATTTAATGGTATATTTAATTAATTCATTATGGCAGTCCTGGCATTCCATAAGCATATGCCACCACAGACACCCTGAATTGGCTAAGTGATGGATGAAGGGAATATTTCAGTCACAGAACAACTTTGAAAATGTGGAAAGGAAAGAAAAATATATTTACTGCCTTTTATGAGCCACATGTGCCATGTTCTTTAACATTCACGTGTTTATATGTTTTTGTCATATTGTGTTTCTGTTTGAAAATGTGCTCATTTTGTCCATGTTGCGGACATTGTAGTTTCAACACTGAAGAACACTGTTGACGAGTCTAGTGTAAGTGCGATCTGATCCTCTGAGCGCTGCACATCTCCTTTCTTAAGACTTTTTCTATTCTTCCTAACACATTTCCATTAAGCAAGTGACTTTCCAGGAATTAGCCAAAAAATTGTAGACTTCTCAACCACACATGGTGTTCTTCCTGGTTAAAAAAACAGGGTTAGGGTCCACGCCCCTTCATGCGTAAGTAGATAACATAACATGCATCAGTTACAGTTAGTGACAGCTGTCACTGTGCAAGCACGTATGCTATTACAAGCAAAACACTTCTTAGTAATACACTAAGCATAACTATGATATGACCGTTGTAGAGAATGCAATGCGAGTAAGCCTATATTATTCATAACGGGCTTGACAAGATTAGTTCTCACAGTTTCTGTTTGACGGAAGGCCAAAGCCTCACGCTAGGCAACGTAATCATCGAATAAAGCTAAAAACAGTTAGACAAGTTCCCTTTTTCATCAACATTTTACCATATACAGTGGGGCAAAAAAGTATTTAGTCAGCCACCGATTGTGCAAGTTCCCCCACTTAAAATGATGACAGAGGTCAGTAATTTGCACCAGAGGTACACTTCAACTGTGAGAGACAGAATGTGAAAAAAAAATATCCATGAATCCACATGGTAGGATTTGTAAAGAATTTATTCGTAAATCAGGGTGGAAAATAAGTATTTGGTCAATAACAAAAATACGACTCAATACTTTGTAACATAACCTTTGTTGGCAATAACAGAGGTCAAACGTTTACTATAGGTCTTTACCAGGTTTGCACACACAGTAGCTGGTATTTTGGCCCATTCCTCCATGCAGATCTTCTCGAGAGCAGTGATGTTTTGGGGCTGTCGCCGAGCAACACGGACTTTCAACTCCCGCCACAGATTTTCTATGGGGTTGAGGTCTGGAGACTGGCTAGGCCACTCCAGGACTTTCAAATGCTTCTTACGGAGCCACTCCTTTGTTGCCCGGGCGGTGTGTTTTGGATCATTGTCATGTTGGAAGACCCAGCCTCGTTTCATCTTCAAAGTTCTCACTGATGGAAGGAGGTTTTGGCTCAAAATCTCACGATACATGGCCCCATTCATTCTGTCCTTAACACGGATCAGTCGTCCTGTCCCCTTGGCAGAAAAACAGCCCCATAGCATGATGTTTCCACCCCCATGCTTCACAGTAGGTATGGTGTTCTTGGGATGCAACTCAGTATTCTTCTTCCTCTAAACACGACGAGTTGAGTTTATACCAAAAAGTTCTACTTTGGTTTCATCTGACCACATGACATTCTCCCAATCCTCTGCTGTATCATCCATGTGCTCTCTGGCAAACTTCAGACGGGCCTGGACATGCACTGGCTTCAGCAGCGGAACACGTCTGGCACTGCGGGATTTGATTCCCTGCCGTTGTAGTGTGTTACTGATGGTGACCTTTGTTACTTTGGTCCCAGCTCTCTGCAGGTCATTCACCAGGTCCCCCCGTGTGGTTCTGGGATCTTTGCTCACCGTTCTCATGATCATTTTGACCCCACGGGATGAGATCTTGCGTGGAGCCCCAGATCGAGGGAGATTATCAGTGGTCTTGTATGTCTTCCATTTTCTGATGATTGCTCCCACAGTTGATTTTTTCACACCAAGCTGCTTGCCTATTGTAGATTCACTCTTCCCAGTCTGGTGCAGGTCTACAATACTTTTCCTGGTGTCCTTCAAAAGCTCTTTGGTCTTGGCCATGGCGGCGTTTGGAGTCTGACTGTTTGAGGCTGTGGACAGGTGTCTTTTATACAGATGATGAGTTCAAACAGGTGCCATTCATACAGGTAACGAGTGGGGGACAGAAAAGCTTCTTACAGAAGACGTTACAGGTCTGTGAGAGCCAGAGATTTTCCTTGTTTGAGGTGACCAAATACTTATTTTCCACCCTGATTTATGAATAAATTCTTTACAAATCCTACCATGTGAATTCATGGATTTTTTTTTTCACATTCTGTCTCTCACAGTTGAAGTGTACCTCTGGTGCAAATTACTGACCTCTGTCATCATTTTAAGTGGGGGAACTTGCACAATCGGTGGCTGACTAAATACTTTTTTGCCCCACTGTATGGTAGTTTGTTTCGACCCTCACATCTTCCAGGTGTTTCCTGTTGACTTACAATTTTCTTAACTCCTCTTTCGTCACTTGTTGCAGGGCAGGGCACAAATGCAATTTCAAGCTAAACGGAAGTCTGGAAGCATAAGGGCCATTCAATTTTGCCCATCTCCAATTTTTAAAATCTGATGGTCCACAATTTCCCCCTCACACACTGAAATCTGAGAAAATGTTTGAACATGTATATGTATAATAATAATATGTAAATAATTTCCCCCAGGGATCAATAAAGTATTCTGATTCTGATGTCAACAACTTTTCAAAATAAAAGCCTGAAGTTCTCTCTCACCATAAAACTGTCCCAATTTTAAACCATAAAAATTTCAGGTAAATGAGAGGGGGTTGAACAGAACATTATACTATAATATATTAATATTATGCTTTAAAGTTGCACTAATTCTAATGGGTCAGATGTTGAACTGTCTGACAATAGGATAACATAAAGTGCCATTAAGGACAGACTCTATAGCAATGTGTCTAATATTTAATTTATTATTTTCTAACAGAGCCTAAGAGTGGGTTAATGTTTTGGCTGTGTGTCTCCAAAAGTTGATTCTGTTCATCTGGACGTAGCTACGTCCAGATGAACAGAATCAACTTTTGGAGATTTACTTACCTGGATGATTGAGAATGCACCAAGACGTTTTGGCTGTGTGGTTTTATTTCATAAAAGTTATATTTCTCTTTAAAAAATATTTTATTGACTCCTAGTAGAATAATGAGCCCCTGTAAAAGCTCACTTTTTCCTAACTCCAGCACTCACACCAAACTCCATTCAAAAAACACGTGTTTTTAATGTTCTGCAGTCAGCCCTCTCTGTGTCCACATGCCGACATAAACGAAACGTTTCTTGTCTTAAACCAGGTGACATGTTGCTGAAACACACCTGCTGCCGTGCTGTATGTTACACACCTATTCTGTGCAGCTTTATTTCGGGGTTCCGGATGGTTTCCAGCAGTCTGCGCTGATGCTCCACTTCTGTCTCGCACTGCTCCATTTTACTTTCAAACTCTGTGAAGATTCCCTCAAATGCTCCATCCAGCCTCACACCAATGACGCTCCTCCACCCACCAACTGAAGACATTGCTGCTGCAACAATTTGCCACACTCATCGGCTACACAGCCATCCGCAACAAGGTTAATAACAGGCTAACGCTACTGTCACTACCCGATCCGTACCGGAAACCCTATCAGTACCCCGCATGCGCAAATTTTACGTCACTTCCTCTCTTTGCCAACATTGCGACATATTTGAATGATACGGTTAGCGCCCAGTTAGCTCCTAGCATTTCTCAGCAGCTCTGCCTCCTTTTCGACTACCGGGACATTTAAACAATGGATAATCCGTATACAAAGAAATTCATGCTTTTCTCCTCAACAGAAAGCGTTCCCCGATTGAACAACAGCGCCGTAAAATAAGAAGAATGGCGCCTAATTACAGAGTTAATAATACAGACTTTGTAATATCTCACGTGTAGATTAATCAGCCAGATGAAGTGTTTACTGACAATTGACAGTGATAGTGGAAATCATCATCACTATTCCAATCAATCCTCTCCACACAGAAGCATAAACACACTCGACTATCACTAAAGCAATTTAACACACGTTTGTAATGGGGCTGATTCAGTTTACAGTAGGGTTCATTCGCTCGGTCAGGGTTAGGGTTAGGGATTTTCTATCAGATCTAGTTGAATAATCATATGATTCAGATCCAGAGCTTGTTTTTTATCCATAAATGTAACAGATGAGAGGAAGAGGCAGAGTTCTTTGTGAAAAGTAAAAAAGGACGGCTTTGTTTTCAGAAAACGACATTTGTGAATGAAGAATTTGCCCATAATAATTATTACATTTAGAACATTTTCAAGCTTATTTTCTTTTCTTAGAGAACCAAAGTTAATATCATTTTTAGAAAATTCAAGTAAGTTTGGAATCTTTGGAAAGAGCCAGTAGTGCACATCGTTCAACAGGGCTTTACAGAATATACAATTATAAAATAAATGTTCTGTTGATTCAATATCCCCATCACAAAAAGAGCAAGAATTATTATCAATAACAAAGCTATTATCAATCCCTTAGCTTTGGGAGGAATGGGAAGTTTAAGGTAATTTTTTCTGATCTCTTTCTTTTGATCACAAGAGAACAGATGTGAAATGGAATTTGGATTGGATCTATAAGGGAAAAAACATTAATAAATAATTCCCTAATTTGGGAGTTTTTTAGACTGTTAGCTGTAATGTTATGCCCATTTACCAAGAGTTCAGGGAGGTCAGGGGATCTATAGTCAGGGTCTTGAAAAAGATTATATGCTGTACATAGAATGTTTTGAGGGATAGCCTTAGTAATTTTTTGAAATTCTTTGTTATTTATTTGCAGATTATAATTCGTGGTGAAATCTTCTAATAAAAATTTACCTCTATCATTTAACAAATGCATCACTGACCAGATGCCCTTATCGTACCATTTCTTTGATAAAGATTGATTTGTTTCCAACGTTTATGTAACGACAGTTCCATAGGGGAGTGTTGTGTGGGCTATACTTATGTTTGTATATTAATTTCCAGTATAATAAAACTTGCTGGTGAAAGGAAGAAAGCTTTATGGGGAGTTTTGTTTTATGTCAAAATCACATCTAAGTAAAAGATTAATTCCGCCTAGATCTGAGAATATTTTGCTTGGAATGTGAAACCAAAGGCTATTTTGACTTCTTAGCCAATTTATTTTTAGGGTGCCATTTAAGCTGTCAAATTCAATAGCTTGCAAACGTCCATCTTCAAAATGTTTGACTAAATTACCTTGCCTAATATAGTGGGTTTTGCGTTTCCATATAAAATCAAAGTTTAGCTGGTTATTAGATTTGATTGCTGGTTTAGGCACTCCTACCGCATATGCAGGATATACTAGCCTTTCCATTTTGGTGAGAAAAATTCTACCCAAAATCAATAAGTCTCTGAGCCCAGTTATTTAAATGAGTTCTACAAATTTGAATTTTCTCCCAAATATTAAGGTTATCTAAATCAGTCTTATTCTTGGTTATATACATACCCAAATATTTGACAGTGGATTTAACAGGAATATTAAAAGTGTTAGAAATAGTACAATCATTTAAGGGTAAGATCTCACATTTGTTTAAATTTAGATTTAACCCTGAAGCTTTTGAGAAAGTTTCAATAATCTGCAGAATTTTGGGGATTTCATTCAGGTTTTTTAGGAAAATAGTTGTATCATCGGCTAACTGGCTGAAGGGACACAGCTAGTGACACGCCCAGCGGTTTCAATTTATTTCCGCCGGATGTCGGTGGATGTCCGGAAGTATGTAGGTGGAGTTTAATTTTTTCTGTTATTATTTCCATTTATTTAGCATAAAAAAATACAGGCAATTGAATGCAATTAATAACATAACAGTTAAAAAAAAGAATTTCAAACACATTAAATTAATTTAATAAGAAGGTTTAAGGCTTTGTAAATAAAGTTCAATTTGATTTTTGGTATAAGCGCTGGTGTATGAGTGAGATACTATAGGTACAAAAACGTTAATGTGTATAGTATAAAGTGCATTATAAGAGTTTCAAACTTTCTCCAGGTAGTAAATAATATTCATTTTCTGTATTTCAATCTTCTTCTTCTTTTGTCACTTATCCAGGTCAAGATTATGGAGGCAGCTGTCTAACTAGAGCAGACTTCCTGGTCAGCTCCTCTGATGGGGATACCAAGGATTTACCAAGCCAGCTGAGAGGCATAAACAGTCCAGTGTGTGACTGGGTCAGTTGGGCCTACCCAAAACACCTTACTTAGCAGACATCCATAAGGTCCTAGTCAGTACCCAAGCCACCTCAGCTGGCTCTTTTCAGTGAGTCACCTTTCTCCTCTGAGCCTCTCCTGAATGACATGATCTCGAATGATCCCAGGGGCTGTTTTCCCTGGTCTCCAGAGGCAAATTAGTCCCAAGTGTGTGGTCAGGCTAGAAGTGATTCAAAGCAAGGAATGAAGTCACCTCACTTGGTGCAGGATTATCTGGTCCTTAGCCATGGAGCTTGGTTTGGCCTGGCCCCTCCTATGATACCACATAAGCTGGCTATAGAGACACTGAAGGTTACACATGTGACGCTTTCTATAGAAATCCAAAACAGCCAAAAAAATATCTTAGAAGCAAGTCTTGAAAATCTTATGGGAAATTATTTAGAAGCTTTATCTAATTTGAATTTGATTTTTAATAAAATCATCAGCCAAGTTTGATGGAAATGACTGCTGTCAGTTTGAATTTTGTATTTTTATCGTGTCCTCTTCTCTGTTTTCATTACACATAACTTTGTTTCACCATCACTAAAACTTTTATAAGGCAGGTATGATAGTAGTGTGTGAATCAGTGCTGCTACCATTAAATTTCTCCTGCTGATATACAAACATAAAATTGTCAGGAAACCTCTGTACCTCCTGCAGGATCTGTTCGCCATCACAACCGGACATAAAACCCAGTGTAAAGCCTCCATCCAGCCCTGCCATGTTTTCTCTCTTTGAATTGCTCCCCATTGGAGGCGTTTTATGCCTCCGGCGAAGAAAGAATATTTACAACAAGCTGGAATTTTAAACATGAAGCTGGGTTTGTTTTCTCTGTTTTTTCTCACTTTCCAGAGAAGGTCGTAGTGGCTGCTTTATGGCCAACATATTAGAGCTGGGTGACAGCCGGCCTGCAGTATCACCACTCAAGGACTAGATGTGATTCTTGGCCATTGCAGTTCTCTGACTCTGAGAGAGAACGAGGCTTTGTTATGAGTACCCAGCTCCCTAATCTCTTCTCCCAGCGCCCTTCTGTCCTTGGTGAAGCCTGACCTGAACACTGCGTGCCGGTGTGAATGCAGAACGTTTTGTCTGGCTTTTGCCCAAGGCTGCCGCAGGTTTTGGTGAGTAACGAGTCACGCTCTCAACAGCGTTTCCTGTGGAAATAAATAGCCGCACGTATGATATTAGAGTATATGTGGATAGTGCTTTCATCTGTGACCTGTCCTTTGAGCTACGCAGGATAAACACAGCGAAGCCATAAATCAAAAGGAAGGTGTTCCAAGGCACTCGTCGAGCAGAAAATAAAGAGCAAAACAGAGGGGTGTTGCTTTTGCTGCTTCTTTATTTATTTATTTTCAAATAGAAAATATGAAAATGAACTCTCTGGCCCCTGGGCCTAAATCAGCATGACACAACAACAGTGTAGAAAGAAGAAAAAATGGAAATTAAAATGAAAACGCACAGCAAGCTTTCTCGTAAGTTTATACTATTGGTTCTTACAACACAAGAACAAGCTGTAGAGGAATCCAGTGGCTTTCATGTCGGCCACATACAAACACAAAGTCGGGATGCTGTGTGACATGTAAATAAAACACACAATGCAGTGATGTGCAAATCTCATATGTTTAATTCACAATAGAAAACAGAAAACACATCAAAAGTTTCAACTGAGTAAAAGAAATATTATTTTAAGAATATTTTAAGAAAAATATCAGCTCGATCTGAATTCCATTTAAGGTCTCAGAAAATTTGGAACCCGGGCAACAGAAGGCTGGAAAAGTAGTTTAACGTGGCAAATGGTCAGTAATGTGACTGGGAGGATTTTAGAGAGACAGAGTTTCTCAGATGATGGACAGAGGTTGAATATCTCATCATCTGCCCCACAAAATATGATCAAAAGACTGAAAATCTGGAGAAATCTCTGTGCGCAAGGGACAAAGCCATCAGTCAGTTCTGGATGCCTATGATCTTTGGGCCCTCAGGCAGCACCACATTAAAAACAGACCTGGCTCTGTGATGGAAAGCACTGCATGGGCTCAGGAACACCTCCAGAAATCCCTGTTTGTGAGCACAAAAGCTCTATCATACAAAGAGGAAGCCATATATGAACATGATCCAGTCATGCTGCTGTCTTCTTTGGGCTAAAGCTCATTTAAAATGGACTGAAAGTGGAAAGCTCTTCTGAGGTCAGAGAATTTTCAGTTTGAAACATTTGTGCTCTATTCCCAAAGAGAAGGACCACCCGGCTTGTTTTTTAAGTCCTGCCTCTCTGATGGTATTGGGGCTGCAGTGCCCATGGAATTGGTAGCTTGCACATCTGGAAAGACTCCACTAAAGCTTTACAAAGATTTTAAAACTTATGAATATCAATTTTTATCAACACAATTTTTTTAACATGAG